CGGTGACCTTGCCCGAAAAAAATTACGCAATGCCCGAATGCGGAAGTGTTGCAATCGGGGTTCAAACGCACTCAAAATGCGTGAAAAACAAAAACGTTCACAAAGATAGTTATATTGAAAGCTTGGTTACTCAATGACCTCTATCAACAGTCTCTTAAAAAAAGGTATACGTAGTGTAATTCAACGTATGTAATAGTTTTAATAATGATCTTTTAATTTGATTGATTCGGTGCCGAGTGGTTTTCCTCTTTATTTATCATTTACACTTTTTATTTGAAACTTGAACGCAAAATTTTAAATCAACTCTGAAGGATCTCTAGAAAACTAAACAATTCTTATGCCACTGTTTCTAAATCCACCCATACAGTGCAACTCCGACACAATAACCATAACTTTTAAACGATTTCTGGAAACAACAGAACATTTTAAAACGCGTATTTAACGACGTGTACAGTGGTTAAATATCGCTTTCTGACATCAGAAAGGTGAAAAAACATAACCTCGGTCTCAATTTCCGTAACATCAACAAAACATGCTTATCCTTTATTTTAGGTCAGTTACCACCGGACTGGTTACTGGACAACGTTTCTGAAAGAATAGTGTACGGCGAATGTTATGTATTCAGTTCACTTCACTGTACCATTGTGTCTAAGGCTCAGAAATCTGTACCATGAGTGAAGGTGAGATATAGCTCATGTCCCGTGGAAATTATCCCACAAGCTGCCATTAGTATTCCAAAACATACGATGAAAACATTTAGAATAATCTCCTGCCATTTCAACTCCCAGAAGAAGATTTTCAGGTAGAAAACGCAGGGGAAAATCAGCGCGATGGCAGTACCTGTACCACTTCCGATAAATGCGGCAAAAAGAGTAAAGTGCGGAACAAGGACTGCCATGAGAATGGTCAGGGATGTGAGCATCAAACGTAACAGCACCACACATGGAACAATAGGACGGCTTCCATCGTCATTGAGAAACCTGGCTGTTAAATACCGCGGGGCTGACTTCTCTATCATATCGAAAACGGCGAACATGGGAAGGGAATAGCCCATGAAGGACAGGACTGTTACCACGACGTTGACGGTGATCCGGTAAGGTCCTAGCGGAAGGTTGTTAGACACCATGTCACCGACGCTGTCTGTAAAAGTCAAATAACCGAAAGCTCCCACTCCGATCTTTAACACGGTCATGGCGATGTAAGCAAAGTTTATGACGGTGTTAAACTTCTCAGGATGGCGCATGTTGCCCTCGAGTACCGTGAGGTAGATTTGGGAGGAGTAGCTAGCCAGCACGACTCCGAGTGTCAGGGGAAACCGGAAAGGATCAAATACCAGCAAATCTTCGGCATTCCAGGAAGCGCTCTTGCCCAAGCAATAAGCTACTATTATGACAAAGTTTGCCAACGCGAAAAAGATTGTAAGCATACTGATCTTGGAGAGTAATTTCACCGAGTTAAGAAAAACGTTTGGTATCATGGCCAGGCCAAAAATTAAGATCCAAACTTGCTTTCCGACCGGCAGATAAGGAAGGGTGTAGTAAATAGCCTCACCACAGGCGATTGGATTTACGGTAGCAACAAATATTAACTCAAAAAACTTTGTTGCATCCACCATGTGTCGACCGTACTTGGGCCAGAATGCATCTCCGATGTCTGCGTATGTGTTGCGAACACGTGTGCGGCCCTTGCCAGGAAATTCCTCATAAAGGCAGTCTATCAAGATCTTGGAGGTATAGTTAGACAGCACTGCGATGGCTATGATACCGAAAATGAACCAGTAACCTCCAAACAGTGTCACCAGAGGCATGGACAAGATGGCTAGCCCTTGAACGGAATTACACGCGTTCCAGAAGGTGTCCATGGTTGAGATTTTTTTCATCTTCTCTATCGTCTCGTCAAGACTTTTTTCGTGACCTTCGATCTCTTGATCCAAAGTCTCCTCGACTATACTGTATCCCTCTCTTAACGACATATTTCACGACAGAATCTGACGAATGCTATGCTAAGCTGGTGTGAAAACGTGCTCCTGGTTGGAAGGCGAGAAGATAATGACCGTCGTACAAGTGCGCGAGAAACAAAGCTAAATATGTTCAAATAGTACAACAGATGCACGCAGGAATGCATTGACCTTCATTAGAGGCTATTGTAGTTTTTTTTACTAAAACACATCCAGATCCCGTCCACACTACGCCGTAGAAATTTGAAAACGCAGCTTTATTTCTATGGATAGGCCTGCCGTCGACACTAATCCGTCACGGAAACGCGGCCTTTCGAAAACGCTCTTCAAACCAAAGGAATTTGACAACGCCGGCTTTTCGTTTAGGTGTGGACAAAAATGATATTTCGACTGAAAAGGAGCTTTTCGAAAACGATGACGTCATGTGATTTCTCTGCCCGAGTTTTCTTTATAGATAAATCCAAAATGACCGGTGATTGTTGCGTTTTCAAATTTCTCCGTCGTAATGTTGACAGAAAACATTTGATGCGTTTTCAGAGTGAAAACGCTGTTTCAATTTTTTCCATCGTAGTGTGAACAGGGCCTCAGTCAGTAAAAGGGTATTCACGATTATATATGTTTTTTTACAAATTTATTTCAAGGTTATTCGAAGTTAAACTATAGTCAAAAGAATGCTAAAAAAAAAACATTTGGAGATCGCGAAAATGATTTGTCGGGCCAAAGAACACCAATGATGTGCTTCACATATAATTTTGATATTACCCTTAGCATACACCCCAATAATAATCGGTTATTTTTCTCATCCGCTTCTTTTCCCGTTTTAATCCAAATAATCAGTTCAAGGCCTTCTTTGCAACAAAAACACGATCTTAGGCCTGGGTCAAACGCCGTACTTCACATGAGCCGAACTTAATGAAAGTTTGAGTTGACTCAAATAACTAAAGGAACGCCTGTTTGAGTCAAACGTCGAACTTAATTCAGTCGAACCGATCTGCTACACCAAACAAATAACCAAAGCGGTCTTGCTGGTCTGTGGTTTTTCAAGGTAAAGTCAAAATGGCGCCTTTAGACCTTTGATTATGCGTTTGGTTCGATTCATGTGAAGATCGGCGTTTGACCCAAAGTCGGTCTTCAGGCGTTATTCACGGCTGGCCAGGCGTGAATAACGCCTCAACCACTCCAAATAAAATCAGTCGAACTTAATTGGGTCGAACGCCGAACTTCACGTGAGCCTAATTGGTTGAATTGGGTTCGGCTCATGTGAAGTACGGCGTTTGACCCCGGCCTGAGCGATGTAAGCTGAAACTGGGCAGAATACAATTTTAATGTTTCCGTGCTTTTATGTCTACATTTCCATGCAGTCCTGATCCTGGAAAGAATTATATGGAATTTTTTGACATTAAGGGTTAATCCTAGAGTACCCCGCGAGCAGTTGGTTTCTCCTAAGCCGAACGAGTTTTACCAGTTCAAAGTTAATTTATTTGTCCATGGCGCTGGACGGCGGTTAGCTCAAAACAACGAACGGTTGCTCGCAGTGGTTTCTCTCTCGCTCGGCGTAGGAGAAAGCAACATGCTCACAGGGTAATCTTAGGGAAGTCATAACCAAAAATTCACTCTCTTATTTCAGGTCGACTCGGCTATCGAGTTTAAAGTTTTTTCCCGCCCTTTGCCACAAGTCCTTCTCGACCTACATCACGATGTTACAAACATCAATTGGCGTAAAAGCTTGTGAGAGTATCCACCCTCGCTGACTCTTTGAATTGCAACCCACAAGACTAACGTGGTGTAAGAAAATGTGATTGGCTAGCCTCTTCCAGGCGTTTCCACCAAGCCTCTCTCTCCTTTTTGTATTCTGCCGCTTTTTTTCGCACTGCGCCCCAACTAACTGGACGCGTGGAAGAGGCTAGTGATTGCCTAATACCGGTTACGAATCTTCCTGTGGTCCTGACTCACATCCAGTCTTTATCCGGTTGGAAAAAATGAACAATCTAATCTCGGGCAGGGCGCTCACATGTAGGCAACTTTCTTGAACCTGTCGAGTGCGCGCCCTGAACGTAAAGGCTGTTTTTCTCGCTAGAGAAAAAGTTTTGCCATTCTCCCGGCTCGCTGATCAGTTAAAATTGCTTCACAAGCGCTAAAGAATAAAACAATTGCCCAAGATTATCTGCAAGTAACGACGTACTGCATTCTGGTATATCTCATGTCCATATGTAGCTGCAAACTCTTGACGGAACTTCTTTTTCAGCGTTTGTGGGGATCTAGACATGATTTCGCTCTAGAAGCCCGCGACTTGATCGTCTATCGTGACTGTTTCCAACCGGATAAATGGCCGCTGGGTAAGGGTCAGCTGTCAGCCAGCAACAAAAGTCCATTGTGTTCAATTCAAATCAAAACCATAATGAAAGAAAAGCATTATAGGCTCATAAGAAAAAAAAGAGAAAATTTTTCAGATTACAGAGTTCAATATTTTGATTTCTCTATTAGATAAAGTTAACTGCTAACTTAAATGCTCATACTCCTTACTGTTGAGACAAAAACGAACTTTTTCGAAAAAGTAAATGAATTACAATAAGCGTCACAAAATGTGTTCAACAAGAAAATACAAAGGCCTCGGGACAAACACGGGATAATTAGAGTGAATGCTAATTTTACGGTAAGCAAAGTCGTTTGCACTGTCGATCACTATAAATAATCCACGCTGATTTTGTGAGCTATTATGGGGGAATAGAAGTATTAGTGGAATGCAAAAGACAATTTTAGCAATATAACTTAAACTTTAAGGTTCTTGGTTGAGTTTTGCTCTCTTAAGTTTCGACATTTGAAGTAAAAACACGCCGAGCTTTTTTATTTTCAGAGACTAAACATTTTTGGAGAAAGCCAACGGTTTCTATAGTTACACAGTGAGAAGTGAAAGCAAGTTTGGATAATGTACAATATGGTCTGAACCAGAGTGAAATGCCGTATTTGAGTTCAGTCAGTTCTACGTCTGTAGAGTTAAATTAAACCGCCATTAAAAAAAAAAAAAAAAAAAAAAAGGAAAAGAAAGAAAGGGGAGAGCTTCGCAGTGTGGCAAAACTGAAAGACGTAAGGTGCCAAAAATACTTCATGATTAGAATGAGTGACCATGGTTTCCAGTTGACAGCGATTCTTATTACCAGAAAAATATAGCAATTCAGAACAAAACCGACGAAGCTTCGTGCTGCGACAAGCATATCTCTTCTTTCCTGATGGCTTCTCTGCCTCAGCTGGTTAAAAAGAATCTTCATATATATTGAATGCCAACAGAACTTCTTGAATCTGTATTCTCAGGATTCACCGGCATGGAACACAGCCGTCAGAAGCCCTGTCCATTTAAGGAAAATGGCGAGCCATCAGTTTCATTTTAGAACAGACACAAGACTCAACATACGGCACTTAACGGATTAATGTGCTTCGTGCTTTATTTTTTAAATAGACGATTTTAACCTTCGAGGAAAATAGTACTGAAAATAGTATCCACAACAAAGCGTCACTCGAAGCTATACATAAAATAAACACAAGAAGAACAGAGAAAATGAAAGAAAAAGCGAGTCAAGAAAGACTGGAAAAAGACAAGATAAACCCTTTGAAAGACTGTGACGCTGAGGACAAGTACGACAATGTAATTTCGCTTCGGGAAGAAAACCTTGCCTCCACATTTGAGACATTTTGGAACATAAGCAACACAATTCAGGGATTACCAATTTTGGTCATCCCTTACGCTGTCAGAAATGGCGGCTACTTAGCTATACTGACTCTATTACTAGTTGCTGTGGCTTCTAACTACACTGGAAAAACCATCGTCCGGTGTCTTTATGAAACAGACCCACAAAGCGGGAAACGAAAGCGGGTCCGCAATTCGTACGCAGATGTCGGCGACGCTTTCCTTCCAAAAATCGGCGGCCATCTTGTCCTCTGCACTCAGTTCTTGGAGTTGCTTTTCGTTGCCTCAGTTTATCCGTTATTGGTTGGAGAATTATTAGCTAAGTCTTTCCCACATGTCGCCGCTTCTTGCTGGCTTTGGACGCTGATAGGAGGCGTTCTTTTTGTTCCAAACATGTTTCTTAGAAACCTGTCACAAGTTGCATGGACAAGCATCTTGACAGTGTTGTCAGCAAAAGTTATTTTCATAACAGTGCTCGCTTACGGTCTGTTGCATTTTCAGAAATGGGAGCTTAGTTCCTTGGAACATTTTGACGCCAGTACATACCCATCTGCTCTAGGAATCCTTGTAGCAAGCTATCTATCACAGCCTTTTGTGTCCCTCATCGAGGGTAGCATGCGCCAAAAGAACAAATTCAATTTGATGATGAATTTATCTTACGGTGTAATGACATTGCTCAATGTTATCATTGGAATAGTTGGTTATGTCTCATTTAAACTTGAAACAGCTGAGGTCATAACAAATAATTTACCGGAAGGTTCTTTTCGAATAGCGGTGAATGTAATGGCGGCGGTGTTGTCTTTTACTTCCTACACGCTACCAATGTTCACCATTTTCGAAATCATCGAGAACTCCGACCTTCCTTGTTTGCCACGGAACTTCGGTCAGTCTATCTTTAGTCCATCCGTTGTCGTGTTTCGTTTGTCTTTGATATCTATAAGTGTTATTTTTGCCGCCACCTTTCCTGCATACACGTATTTATTAGCCCTTGTAGGCAGTATAGCTGGTATCAGTCTGGAGTTTATATTCCCGCCACTGTTTCATCTGAAGATCTACTGGCAAGACATGTCATGGTGCAATATTTTGGCAGATACTGCTGTTGTTGGGACTGGTTTTGCTGTGTTGGTGTCGGGGACTTTGAGTTCTGTTCGTTCAATCATTCAAGTTTATAGCCAGCCGATAGCTAGTCCCTGCGATTGAAGAAACGAAAGTTCGATTGGGACTAATTGCCGAGTCAATGAACAAACCTCTATAAGACATAAGTCTAATTAACGTCCTCACTGTGGAAAAAAACGTACCTGCCGGAACCGGGCCTTGAAGTTTTTTCCGTAAAAAAATTAATTCAATTTATTCGGTTTTCACCCTCCAAACAAACCAACACTCCAAATTCAAAGTCGATCTCGTAGCACGAACAACGAATTCGTCAGAGCTCTTTCGTGCAGTTTCTAAGTAAATTGTATTCACATTTCATTTATATTAAAAGCTCGTGTCATTCAAGTCGTCGCCGTTTTGCTGCGAACAGTTCAGTTAACTCGATAAATGATGGCCAGCAATAGCAGTTCAGCAATTCAAATATTTTTATCAACTGAAGCTGACCATGATACAAACTGCAAAATAAACAATCTTTTAAGTCCGGACCTGATATGATCACTATTCTCAAAAAACTCGACAGTTTGATTGGTTTGTTTTGATAATTTTAGGGCTTCATTTTGAATAGTTTTGCCCGAGGGTGATATTAACAAGAAGTTTCGTGGTTAAAGGGAATTCACTACCCACATGTCATGGGAAGGAAAATTGAAAATTTGTTCGTCGGCCAATAAGGTAGTGCATGGCAAGCAACCTGCAACCATGCTCAGAAAATTGTTATGAGATCATAATTATAATGTCGGCAAAAAACAAACTGAGGAAATTTATATCCTTGTGGTTATCTAAAAAAGTTTGCTTACGTTGGCTAAAAGCACTTCCAAAGAAAGAATGAGTTCGGTAAGAACGACTGTCGTGGTGCTGTAATTTTATTTAGCTCCAAATTTCGTAACGAGATTCCCTGAAGCCCGCATGGCTGCTTGGTATTTCCACGCAGGATTTTGTTGGGAGAACAGAAGATGGGATTGCACATTATGAGTCCTACTTGAGAAAGAGACTTGATTTCTAATCTGTAAGGGAAAACGAGGGTACAGTTGTATACGCTAGACGGTATTAATAAGTATGCAAGTAGCACTTATTGTTTTCTTTGTAGAAGCCTAAGCCACAAGAAGAAAATATATACATATAATAAAGTAGGCCACACATAGTGGCCAAAGGGGAATAGGGTGTTCTTCGAAAGGAGTGTATTGTTGAATCTAATTTTGCAGATTTTGCTCACGTGAACGCGCGCATTTTATCCCTCGCTGAAACATCCAAGTAAAGCGTGTGGTAACATTTTCCGAGGAGGGACTGGAGCGCTTACCATTTTTACCAGAACATCCGGAAATTTCGGTTGAAAGTCAAATGGGACAGTACTTTGTCGGAAAATCCGTTCGGAAACTGCGCACTTCTTCCAAAAGGCTCCTCTTTTTCTGTTCGGAGTGGAACGGTGGAAACTTCTTTGCCATTTGCTGAATTCTGCAGTTTCCTGTCTCTGGTCGACAGAAAACAATACTGGAAGTCAAATTGTAATTGGTATAAGCGCCATCTTGTTCGGTTGGTTTGCTAATTTTGTAAATACCTTACATATGGGGATAAACACTCTCCTCTTCATCTTCTTTTATTGGAGGAAGGGATTCATTTTCCGCCTTGTTCCCCACACGGGGGGAAGGAACAGATGATGACTAAAAACAGTAACGAGGTAGTAAGAAAACAAAAATGGAACAAAGATGGTAAATATTGGGCAAGATAGACACCGATTACGAACTCGAGAAACTTGAAAAAGCAGGCTAATTTATTTTCTGTGGATGCGCCATCGAAAACATAAGTAGTTTTTCAAATTATCAATGGCTGAAAAAAAACCCTAAACTCTCGATTTGGGTCCCATCCTTAGTTTATAATGCCGCATTTCTATTCCATTTACCTTCTATAAAATACTTAAAAATCGTTCTCAAATATATCTTCTTCAGTAGCTTGGAAAAAAGAACAAAAAAGCACACCTCCGACGGGACTCGAACCCGCAATCTTCGGCTTAGGAGGCCGACGCGTTATCCATTACGCTACAGAGGCTGATGTTGATAATATACAGCAATTAAAACGTTATACTTTAGTGATCTACAGTGTATTGGAAACTCTAATTCTCGATTCCAGTGCAATCCTTAGTTTATAATGCTGTAAACTTCTAGTGCTGTTCAAGAACGCGATGTTTCTCCACGTTTCCATTCCATTTACCTTTTATAAAATACTTGGAAATCGTTAGAAAGTATTTCTTCTTCAGTAGCTTGGGAAAAAAAAAAGGAATCTAGAAACACACCTCCGACGGGACTCGAACCCGCAATCTTCGGCTTAGGAAGCCGACGCGTTATCCATTACGCTACAGAGGCCAGTGAGTGAGTGAGCCTGAAGCGAATGAACAAGGCAGCTCTCTAATCGGGAAAAGGTCACGTTTTTGCGAAACGCAAGGAGTTGTGGTAGCGGTAAGATCAAGTCACAAGGAATTGCTGTTATGCGCGAATTGCAGAATTAAGATGCGCAGTCTGATCTTGAGCTCTGTCACTTGCATCGTTGGTCGCAGTGTACGAAGGTGACTGACAGTTTTCTGCTGTGTACATTCCTACTTTTGACGCTTCTTTTATCGTTCCTGTTTTCTTTTAAAAACTTTTCTTTGTACTGTTTTTGATGATGTTTAATTGTGTAAAGCAAAATGTTGCTTTATAACCAGACATACTAGGTAAACTAGTTACAATGTTCTACTTAAGTGATCTACAGTGTATTAGAAACTTTGCAGGTTTCGGTGAGCATACTAAATTAATTCTCGATCGTAGTGCTATCCTTAGTTTATAATGCTGTAAACTTCTAGTGTTGTTCAAGAACGCGATGTTTCTCCACGTTTTCATTCCATTTACCTTTTATAAGATTCTTGAAAATCGTAAGCAAATATACCTTCTTCAGCAGATTGGAAAAAAGAACCAAAAAACACACCTCTGACGGGACTCGAACCCGCAATTTTCGGCTTAGGAGGCCGACGCGTTATCCATTACGCTACAGAGGCCGGTGTTGATAAGAAACAGTAATTCAAATTTACTACTTTGGTGATGTACAATGTATTGGAAACTTTGCAGGTTTCGGTGAGCATACTAAATTAATTCTCGATTTGAGTGCTGTCGTTAGTTTATAATGCAGTAAACTTCTAGTGTTGTTCAAGAAGTCAACGCGATGTTTCTCCACGTTTTCATTCCATTTACCTTTTATAAAATACTTGGAAATCGTTAGCAAATATACCTTCTTCCGTAGCTTGGAAAAAAGAACCAAAAAACACACCCCTGACGGGACTCGAACCCGCAATCTTCGGCTTAGGAGGCCGACGCGTTATCCATTACGCTACAGAGGCCGGTGTTGATAATACACCGCAGTTGCTGCCTCAGTGGGTGAGCCTGAAGCGAATGAACGAGGCAGCTCTCTAATCGGGAAAAGGTCACGTTTTTGCGAAACGCAAGGAGTTGTGGTAGCGATAGGATCAAACGCGCAAGGAATTGTTGTTACGCGCGTAAGGCAGAATTAAGATGCGCAGTCTGATATTGAACTCTCTCTTGCATCGTTGGTCGCAGTGTACGAAGGTGACTGACAGTTTTCTGCTGTGTATTTTGCTACTTTTGACGCTTCTTTTATCGTTCCTGTTTTCTTTTAAAAACTTTTCTTTGTACTGCTTTTGATGATGTTTAATTGTGTAAAAGCAAAATTTTGCTTTATAACCAGGCATACTAGGTAAACTAGTTAAAATGTTCTACTTAAGTGATCTACAGTGTATTAAAACTTTGCAAGTTTCGGTGAGCATACTAAATTAATTCTCGATGGTAGTGCTATCCTTAGTTTATAATACTGTAAACTTCTAGTGTTGTTCAAGAACGCGATGTTTCTCCACGTTTTCATTTCATTTACCTTTTATAAGATTCTTAAAAATCGTTAGCAAATATACCTTCTTCAGTAGATTGGAAAAAAGAACCAAAAAACACACCTCTGACGGGACTCGAACCCGCAATCTTCGGCTTAGGAGGCCGACGCGTTATCCATTACGCTACAGAGGCTGCTGTTGATAAGACACAGTAATTCAAATTTACTACTTTGGTGATGTACAATGTATTGGAAACTTTGCAGGTTTCGGTGAGCATACTAAATTAATTCCCGATTTGAGTGCTATCGTTAGTTTATAATGCAGTAAACTTCTAGTGTTGTTCAAGAAGTCAACGCGATGTTTCTCCACGTTTTCATTCCATTTACCTTTTATAAAATACTTGGAAATCGTTAGCAAATATACCTTCTTCCGTAGCTTGGAAAAAAGAACCAAAAAACACACCCCTGACGGGACTCGAACCCGCAATCTTCGGCTTAGGAGGCCGACGCGTTATCCATTACGCTACAGAGGCCGGTGTTGATAATACACCGCAGTTGCTGCCTCAGTGGGTGAGCCTGAAGCGAATGAACGAGGCAGCTCTCTAATCGGGAAAAGGTCACGTTTTTGCGAAACGCAAGGAGTTGTGGTAGCGATAGGATCAAACGCGCAAGGAATTGTTGTTACGCGCGTAAGGCAGAATTAAGATGCGCAGTCTGATATTGAACTCTCTCTTGCATCGTTGGTCGCAGTGTACGAAGGTGACTGACAGTTTTCTGCTGTGTATTTTGCTACTTTTGACGCTTCTTTTATCGTTCCTGTTTTCTTTTAAAAACTTTTCTTTGTACTGCTTTTGATGATGTTTAATTGTGTAAAAGCAAAATTTTGCTTTATAACCAGGCATACTAGGTAAACTAGTTAAAATGTTCTACTTAAGTGATCTACAGTGTATTAAAACTTTGCAAGTTTCGGTGAGCATACTAAATTAATTCTCGATGGTAGTGCTATCCTTAGTTTATAATACTGTAAACTTCTAGTGTTGTTCAAGAACGCGATGTTTCTCCACGTTTTCATTTCATTTACCTTTTATAAGATTCTTAAAAATCGTTAGCAAATATACCTTCTTCAGTAGATTGGAAAAAAGAACCAAAAAACACACCTCTGACGGGACTCGAACCCGCAATCTTCGGCTTAGGAGGCCGACGCGTTATCCATTACGCTACAGAGGCTGCTGTTGATAAGACACAGTAATTCAAATTTACTACTTTGGTGATGTACAATGTATTGGAAACTTTGCAGGTTTCGGTGAGCATACTAAATTAATTCCCGATTTGAGTGCTATCGTTAGTTTATAATGCAGTAAACTTCTAGTGTTGTTCAAGAAGTCAACGCGATGTTTCTCCACGTTTTCATTCCATTTACCTTTTATAAAATACTTGGAAATCGTTAGCAAATATACCTTCTTCCGTAGCTTGGAAAAAAGAACCAAAAAACACACCCCTGACGGGACTCGAACCCGCAATCTTCGGCTTAGGAGGCCGACGCGTTATCCATTACGCTACAGAGGCCGGTGTTGATAATACACCGCAGTTGCTGCCTCAGTGGGTGAGCCTGAAGCGAATGAACGAGGCAGCTCTCTAATCGGGAAAAGGTCACGTTTTTGCGAAACGCAAGGAGTTGTGGTAGCGATAGGATCAAACGCGCAAGGAATTGTTGTTACGCGCGTAAGGCAGAATTAAGATGCGCAGTCTGATATTGAACTCTCTCTTGCATCGTTGGTCGCAGTGTACGAAGGTGACTGACAGTTTTCTGCTGTGTATTTTGCTACTTTTGACGCTTCTTTTATCGTTCCTGTTTTCTTTTAAAAACTTTTCTTTGTACTGCTTTTGATGATGTTTAATTGTGTAAAAGCAAAATTTTGCTTTATAACCAGGCATACTAGGTAAACTAGTTAAAATGTTCTACTTAAGTGATCTACAGTGTATTAAAACTTTGCAAGTTTCGGTGAGCATACTAAATTAATTCTCGATGGTAGTGCTATCCTTAGTTTATAATACTGTAAACTTCTAGTGTTGTTCAAGAACGCGATGTTTCTCCACGTTTTCATTTCATTTACCTTTTATAAGATTCTTAAAAATCGTTAGCAAATATACCTTCTTCAGTAGATTGGAAAAAAGAACCAAAAAACACACCTCTGACGGGACTCGAACCCGCAATCTTCGGCTTAGGAGGCCGACGCGTTATCCATTACGCTACAGAGGCTGCTGTTGATAAGACACAGTAATTCAAATTTACTACTTTGGTGATGTACAATGTATTGGAAACTTTGCAGGTTTCGGTGAGCATACTAAATTAATTCCCGATTTGAGTGCTATCGTTAGTTTATAATGCAGTAAACTTCTAGTGTTGTTCAAGAAGTCAACGCGATGTTTCTCCACGTTTTCATTCCATTTACCTTTTATAAAATACTTGGAAATCGTTAGCAAATATACCTTCTTCCGTAGCTTGGAAAAAAGAACCAAAAAACACACCCCTGACGGGACTCGAACCCGCAATCTTCGGCTTAGGAGGCCGACGCGTTATCCATTACGCTACAGAGGCCGGTGTTGATAATACACCGCAGTTGCTGCCTCAGTGGGTGAGCCTGAAGCGAATGAACGAGGCAGCTCTCTAATCGGGAAAAGGTCACGTTTTTGCGAAACGCAAGGAGTTGTGGTAGCGATAGGATCAAACGCGCAAGGAATTGTTGTTACGCGCGTAAGGCAGAATTAAGATGCGCAGTCTGATATTGAACTCTCTCTTGCATCGTTGGTCGCAGTGTACGAAGGTGACTGACAGTTTTCTGCTGTGTATTTTGCTACTTTTGACGCTTCTTTTATCGTTCCTGTTTTCTTTTAAAAACTTTTCTTTGTACTGCTTTTGATGATGTTTAATTGTGTAAAAGCAAAATTTTGCTTTATAACCAGGCATACTAGGTAAACTAGTTAAAATGTTCTACTTAAGTGATCTACAGTGTATTAAAACTTTGCAAGTTTCGGTGAGCATACTAAATTAATTCTCGATGGTAGTGCTATCCTTAGTTTATAATACTGTAAACTTCTAGTGTTGTTCAAGAACGCGATGTTTCTCCACGTTTTCATTTCATTTACCTTTTATAAGATTCTTAAAAATCGTTAGCAAATATACCTTCTTCAGTAGATTGGAAAAAAGAACCAAAAAACACACCTCTGACGGGACTCGAACCCGCAATCTTCGGCTTAGGAGGCCGACGCGTTATCCATTACGCTACAGAGGCTGCTGTTGATAAGACACAGTAATTCAAATTTACTACTTTGGTGATGTACAATGTATTGGAAACTTTGCAGGTTTCGGTGAGCATACTAAATTAATTCCCGATTTGAGTGCTATCGTTAGTTTATAATGCAGTAAACTTCTAGTGTTGTTCAAGAAGTCAACGCGATGTTTCTCCACGTTTTCATTCCATTTACCTTTTATAAAATACTTGGAAATCGTTAGCAAATATACCTTCTTCCGTAGCTTGGAAAAAAGAACCAAAAAACACACCCCTGACGGGACTCGAACCCGCAATCTTCGGCTTAGGAGGCCGACGCGTTATCCATTACGCTACAGAGGCCGGTGTTGATAATACACCGCAGTTGCTGCCTCAGTGGGTGAGCCTGAAGCGAATGAACGAGGCAGCTCTCTAATCGGGAAAAGGTCACGTTTTTGCGAAACGCAAGGAGTTGTGGTAGCGATAGGATNCTGTACTGGACTCCTTTCTCCTGTGTACGTGCTTAGAACCGCTTTTGTTGTCTGGAGTGGACCCAATGCGTCACGCAATCTTCCGTACGTTGCTTCATTTATATCGTCTTCGAAGCACCCGTGTCGATTTCCATCGTGGTTTTCCGTCCACAAAGTTCCAGATCCACTTTGAACGATTTCTTTCGATCGCTGGACAGATGATACATGGCATAGACGTCGTCTTGATCGGCGCTTTCTTCAACAAAATGCGTTCTTTGTTTACCATCTGGCCGGCGCCCACGTTTGTCTTGCTTTTGAGGTTTCTTCTTTCCTCGACATACTTTAGCCATGTGGCCTTTCTTTTGACATTTGTAACACACTTCGTTCTTGTATTTGCAGCTCGAGGGATCATGGTTCCCACTGCAGCGATAGCACTCCCGTTTTGGCTGAAAATGTGGAGGTTTAGTTTCTTCTTCGACCTTGTTGAGGCTGTTGTCACTGCTGGACCCGGGCGTCTTCCCGCCAATATCGATTAGATTCTTTGAAGCCATTTCGGTTGCTGTAGCGATTTCTACCGCCTTGTTGAATGTGAGCTCCCGTTCGGCCAACAGTCGTCGTTGAATGCGATCGTCGCTGATTCCACAAACGAGTCGATCTCGCAGCATGTCTTCGAGTGTTGCTCCGAACTGGCAATGCTCTGAAAACCTTCTGAGTCCTGCGACGAACTCTGCAACATTTTCCCCTTCGAGTCGACTCCTGCTATGGAATTTGAATCGCTCAACGATAACACTTGGTTTGGGCGAAAAATGGCTTTCCAGCTTTTCTAAGATCTCTTTTAAACCCGCATCGCCCGGTTTCTGGGGTTGTAAAAGATCGCGAATTAACCCGTATGTTTTGCTTCCACAAACGCTTAACAGGATAGCTCTTTGTTTCTTCTCGTCTTTAATTTCATTTGCGGCGAAGTACTGCTCGAGTCTTTCCGCGTATTGAATCCACGATTCCTCTGACTCCTTAAATTCTCCCACGTTCCCGTAGGTTGCCATGTTTATCCTCGTCGCCAATGTAATAAATCAAGGTTAAGCGAATTGTAGATCTACATGCGTTAATAATCACGAAGAAGAATGAATTGAAATCCTACATTACACAACATGGATATCCTATTACCGATAACATGACTCCGCACGTGACTAGATTATAACAAGTTATAACAGTTATTACTCGGATCCTGACGCTTCCGATGACTTTTGATCTCTTGTTTATGTTTTGCACGGGACCATTGCTGTGCAAGCAAGCTTTGCTGTTTGTAATTTCCGCTTTTTCCAGTTAATAATTGGTATGAGTGACCATTTTATCCAATGATACGTCGACTCGTTGACTCTTCGGGCTGGGAATCTTTCGCTCAGATTTCCTACAGTATTTGCCGTGGCCTCTTGCGGGACAATGTCTGCCGAGCAAGAAGAAGTGGTTATGAGGATGGTCGGGAAGAGACGATGTTACTTAAAGCAGAGATTGGAAGCTCGGCGACGTTTCTTCTGGGAGCAAGAACTCGCTTCGGGAGAGTTATAACGCTTCAACAATCGTTTGCGTTACTGAACACTTCATGTGGTTGACTACGTTGTCTTCGGGTTATTCAAAATTCTTCTTGGAAAGATTTAAAATAAAATTTAAGGTTGATTCAGTCGAATTGCGACATAAAATGGGTGTTCCGAGCTCGTATTCGGGATATTTGANAGAGTTATAACGCTTCAACAATCGTTTGCTTTACTGAACACTTCATGAGGCTGACTACGTTGTCTTCGGGTTATTCAAAATTTTTCTTGGAAAGATTTTAAATGAAATTTAAGGTTGATTAAATAAATCTTCTTTAGTAGCTCGGAAATATATCTTCTATAGTAGCTCGGAAAAAAAAGAACCAAAAAATACACCTCCGACGGGACTCGAACCCGCAATCTTCGGCTTAGGAGGCCGACGCGTTATCCATTACGCTACAGAGGCTGATGTTGATAATGACCGATAATTAAAGAGTATTAATTTAGGTTGTATTCTATTGAGATCAATCGTTCCTGGTTGGTTGAGTCAGTTGGGTTTTTCGTGTTCTAATGGGTAAAAACCGTTTTCGGTTGGTTTGGATCAACCTTTTCAACCGTCCTCAAACCAGGTGGAAACGGCCGAAAGAGCATTCGCGTGATTATGCCGTGTGATTGTAGCTCTCGTAAGGACTGTTCCCAAGAGTTACCGCGATTCAACCAAAAATAGTTCAAAACGGTAGATCCCAGGACATGACCTTAGTTATACCTTGCAGGTTTCAGCGAGCATTAATTTCTCGAGTTACAAATGATAATCTACATATTGTTTTTTTGTTGTTGTTGTTGTTGTTGTTGTTTTTTTCAAAATGCTCCTTATTATTTTTTTTTTTTTTTGAGGTATTAATTATACAAACCTTCTTCAATAGGATGGAAAAAAAGAAGCGAAAGGAGCACCTCCGACGGGACTCGAACCCGCAATCTTCGGCTTAGGAGGCCGACGCGTTATCCATTACGCTACAGAGGCTGATGTTGATGAATATCAGTAATTAAAATTTGCTACTTTAGTGATGTACAGTGTATTGGAAACTTTGTAGGTTTCGTCCAGCACTCTAAATTCTCAATTTGAGTGTTATCCTCAGTTCATAGTGCTGTAAACTTCTAGTGTTGTTCAAGAAATTGATGTTTCTGTTTGTTGTTATGCGCGAATGGCAGAATTAAGATGCGCAGTTTGATCTTGAGCTCGGTCACTTGCATCGTTGGTCGCAGTGTACGAAGGTGACTGACAGTTTTCTGCTGAGTATATTGCTATTTTTGACCTTTCCTTCATCGTTTCTGTTTTCCTTTAAAAACTTTTCATTGTACTGCTTTTGATGATGTATTGAGTAAAAGTAAAATTTTGATTTATAACCAGGCATACTAGGTAAACTAGTTAAAATGTTCTACTTTAGTGACCTACAGTATATCAAACTTTGCAGGTTTCGGTGAGCATTCTAACTTAATCCTCGATTTGAGTGCTATCCTTAGTTCATAATGTTGTAAACTTCCAGTGCTTTTCAAATTTGCACGCGATGTTTCTGCACGTTTCCATTCCATTTAGCTTTTTTAAGATACTTGAAAATCGCTATCAAATATATCTTCTTCAGCAGGTTGGAAAAAAGAACAAAAAAGCACACCTCCAACGGGACTCGAACTCGCAATCTTCGGCTTAGGAGGCCGACGCGTTATCCATTACGCTACAGAGGCCGGTGTTGGTAGTACTTAGCAATTAAAACGTAATTTTTTAGTGATCTACATGCAGTGCATTGGAAACTTTGCAGGTTTCGGTTAGCATGCTAAATTAATTCTCGATTTGAGTGCAATCCTTAGTTTATAATATTGTAAATTTCTATTGCTGTTCAAGAACGCGATGTTTCTCCACGTTTCCATTCCATTTACCTTTTATAAAATTCTTAAAAATCGTTAGCAAATATATATCTTCTTCAGTAGGTTGGAAAAAGGACCAAAAAACACACTTCTGACAGGACTCGAACCCGCAATCTTTGGCTTAGGAGGCCGACGCGTTATCCATTACGCTACAGAGGCCGGTGTTGATAATACACAGCAATTGCTGCCGCAGTGAGTGAGCCTGAAGCGAATGAACATGGCAGCTCTCTAATCGGGAAAAGGTCACGTTTTTGTGAAACGCAAGGAGTTGCGGTAGCGGCAAGATTAAAGGCGCAAGGAATTGTTGTCATGCGCGAATGACAGAATTAAGATGCACAGTCTGACCTTTCTCTCATGCATCGTTGGTCGCAGTGTACGAAGGTGACTGACAGTTTTCTGCTGTGTATATTGCTTTTTTTGGCGCTTCTTTTATCATTCCTGTTTTCCTTTAAAACCTTTTCTTTGTACTGCTTTTGATGATGTTTAATTGTGTGAAAGCAAAATATTAATTTATAACCAGGCATACTAGGTAAACTGGTTAAAATGTTCTACTTTAGTGATCTACTGTGTATTAGGAACTTTGCAGGTTTCGGTGAGCTTCCTAACTTAATCCTCCATTTGAGTGCTATCCTTAGTTTATAATGGTGTTAAACATCTAGTGCTTTTCAAGAACGCGATGTTTCTGCACGTTTCCATCCCATTTAGCTTTTATAAAATTCTTGAAAATCGTAAGTAAATATACCTTCTTCAGTAGGTTGGAAAAAAAAACAAAAAAGCACACCTCCGACGGGATTCGAACCCGCAATCTTCGGCTTAGGAGGCCGACGCGTTATCCATTACGCTACAGAGGCTAATGCTGATAACGATCGGTAATTAAAAAGTATTAATTTAGGTTGTATTCTATGGGATCAATCGTTTCTGGTTGGTTGGGTTTGTTGGGTTTTTCGTGTTCTAATGAATAAAAACCGTTTTCGGTTGGCCTGGTTGACCAACCTTTTCAACCTTCCTAAAGCAGGTTGAAACGGTTGAAAAAGGATTTGCGTGATTATGTCTCGTGATTGTAGCTCGCGTAAGGACTGTTCCCAAGAGTTACCGCGATTCAACCGAAAACAGTTCAAAACGGTAGATCCCAGGACATGACCTTAGTGATACCTTGCAGGTTTCAGCGAGCACTAATTTCTCGAGTTACAAAGTCTAATCTACATAATTTTTTTCTTTATATTTTTTCACATTTTTGTTATTCTATTAATTAAGGTATCAAGCAGAGATACCTTCTTGAATAGGACGGGAAAAAAAAGAAGCAAAAAATACACCTCCGACGGGACTCGAACCCGCAATCTTCGGCTTAGGAGGCCGACGCGTTATCCATTACGCTACAGAGGCTGATGTTGATATGTTAAATGAATTAAAAAGTACGACTTTAGCGATCTGTTGGAATCCTGGCAGGTTTCGACGAGCATTATTTTCTCGAGTCATAAATTCTCGTCCCCTCATTGGTTTTTTTCAGATGTTTGTTATTCAGTTGAGACAGCACCGGCCATGTAAACCGTTAGGTGGTATAAGCCTGTTTAATTTGCACAAAGACTACATTTCTTTATGAGCTCTCGTCTTTATTGTCCAGGTAAGTCCATTCACGGAAGTGATTATGAAAAATGGGTCAGTTCTGCCTCGCTGATGGGTTAGTGTAATTTGTGTGTAATTTGAGCTCAGCTCAAATTACACTGACGGAGGTGACTCGATCACATGATGACATCAGTTATGGTGCACCAGAAAAAGGAGACAATTTTCCAATACATTCTAGCAGGTCATACCAGTCAAGCTTGCCTTCTATAAATTTAAGATATATATATACACCTCATCCGATGGTTTAACATATAATACGCGCTGATATTTGCGAGTTGCGCAGTATTTTGGGGCGGGGAAAAATACGAGCAATCAGAACAATATCCCACGCGTATTTCATGCTAAACCATCGAATAAGGTATTTATTATTTCACTATTATGTCATTTTCTAATATTTCGGCGTCTAGTTTTCGAAGCTAATCCTGCATCATCCGAAAGTAGTTGTACCGACCGTATAAGGCGCGTTCAAGAAACAAAACAAAATTCGACTGTACAATGCTATGCGGGTTCGTACTTTAAATTTGCGCTTGTAGCATAGAAAGGTCCAATATTTTCTAAACTGTCCCGGATGATCCCTTGCGAACACTCTTAAACATTTTCTTGGAGTTTCATGGATTACATTTCTGAAAGAACTTGCTTCCACGGAACGCATTCTTTTTCTTTATGTTCCAATTCTATTTTCAGTACTGTCAACACCTCGGGCGGATATTCCCCCAGAACAAGAAACCATCTGACGTGTCACTTTTTGTAAACCCACTTTACTTCAAACACAGTTAGATCTTTCTAAATTACTTTCTCCTATGCACTGAGGTCCATGCAAGAATTCATCTTATGGTCAGCGCAAGTCACAGGAATTTACTTTCTTGAAACAATTTTTTCTAGTTTCTGGCAAATTTATATCTGTTCCTTTTTTTCCAGCAGAAATGTCTCAACTTCTACTTCCCAGCAAAATTCTTGACAAAATTTTCCAGCCAGCCTACTAATTACGCCAATCATTCTAGCAGATTTACACGTTGTCGTCATTTGACTGTAACTAACAGAATTCCTTTCGTTTTTTCTGTGATATTTTAATTTTGAATTCCCAGTGGGGCTTAAATAACAATTGCCCTAATTAGCATAAGAAACAAAAAAGTGGAGGATTGTGGTAGTTGTAGTCGAATGACGTCATCATGCGATTCGCCTTTTGGTCCAAAGTGCATACACTTGGAAACGTGGTTCCAGGGCCATATCTACATCTCAGTGCCGAGTAGGCCTGGGAACCGATCCGTTGACTGCCGCTGAAAGTGCTGCTTGGCGTGAACTGATATTCACATTTCCTCCATTATTTATAAGCTCCCTTTTTTTAGTATTATGAACAACTGTTAATCAATGGCTGGCTGTACGTCTTAATCATAGAACGTCCAGAAAAGAAAGCTCCAGTAACGGACACAGAAATACCCACAACAAACACAACCAAATCCACTGCAATATTGCACCATGGCATGTCATGCGAGTAGATCTTCAGATGAAACAAGGCCGGTAATACAAACTCCAGGCTGATACCAGCTATACTGCCCACAAAGGCTAATAAATAAGTGTACGCTGGGAAAGAGGCCGCGAAAATGACACTTGTAGATATTAACGACAAACGAAGTAAAATAACAGACGGTTTCAAGATGGATTTACCAAAATCCTGTGGTAAGCAAGGAAGGTTAGATTTTTCTATGATGTCAAAAATGGTGAACATTGGTAGCGTGTAGGAGGTGAAAGATAACACCGCCGCCATTACATTCACAGCTCGGCGGAATGAACCTTCCGGTAAATTGTTTGTTATGACTTCAGCTGTGTTGGGTTGAAACGAAATGTAAGCAACAATTCCGATGATGACGTTAAGTAATGTCATTATTCCATACGAGAAATTCATCAGCAAATCAAATTTGTCCTTATGGCGCATGCTGCCCTCGATGAGGGGCACAAAAGGTTGTGATAGATAGCTTGCTACAAGGATTCCTAGAGCAGATGGGTATGTACTGGCGTCAAAATGTTCTAAGGAACTAAGCTCCCATTTGTGAAACTGGGAAAAGCTGTAGGCGATCACTGTTATGAAAATAACTTTTGCTGATAACACTGTCAAGATGCTTGTCCATGCAACTTGTGACAGGTTTTTGAGAAAAATGTTTGGAACAAAAAGAACGCCTCCTATTAGTGTCCAAAGCCAGCAAGAAGCGGCGACATGTGGGAAAGACTTAGCGATTAATCTTCCGACTAATAACGGGTAAACTGAGGCAACGAAAAGCAACTCCAAGAACTGAGTGCAGAGGACAAGATGGCCGCCGATTTCCGGAAGGAAAGCGTTGCCAACATCTGCATACGAATTGCGGACCCGCTTTCGTTTCCCGCTCTGTGGGTCTGTTTCATAAAGACACCGGACGATTGTTTTTCCAGTGTAGTTAGAAGCCACAGCAACTAGTAATAGAGTCAGTATAGCTAAGTAGCCGCCATTTCTGACAGCGTAAGGGATGACCAAAATTGGTAATCCTTGAATTGTGTTGCATATGTTCCAAAAGGTCGCAAATGTGGAAGCAAGTTTATCTTCAGGTGCAGAAAGTTCCTTTTTGGTTTCTGGTGAGCTGCAAATGTCCGTTCCTTTCTCCACGTTTGCCTCTTCTTCGCAGGATTCGCTCATTCTTTCCTCGTCTTCCTTGAATTATCACCGCACACAGCTGAATAGAGAACCTGCGGCTTGCTCAATGAACACGTGTAGCGGCGAGAAGATGTAGTTGTAAGTTGGATTTGTGAGTTTAGCTCAATTCCTGGCTTATCAGCAAGGAACTTTGTTTCCTCTGGTGATTGTTGACTTTGAGCTGAATAAACACATTCAATCGCGCGACTGTAACAAAATACCACAATGATAGATGTTGATAGCAGACGTTCACCGTTAGTTCTGAGTGATGTCGTGTTCTCTTTTATGTACACTAACACATCATATATCGCAGAGAAACTTCTAAAACAGTAAGATTGCTTTATGGAATAATCGTTTGTTTATAAAAAAAATTCTTTGTTTGTCTTCAATGATCACCCGACGCAATGAATTAGATAAACAACTTGAGCTCTCCTGTGAACCTGAACTGTGACGTGTAGGCGTAGAATCACTCTTTCTCATCCACGCTCCAAGTGCCGGTAGAAATTCTTGACTTCAAGTTCAGTCGACAGAGAAAGAATTTTTTCACCCGGGTTCAATCGGTAGCTAGACATACGTGGTTCAAAGCACTTGTACTAAAACCGGAACAGGTTATTTAAATGATTTAATGAAAAAACAACAGGTGGTCGCGACTTGGATCATTTGTTCCAAATTCGATCAGTTACAGGAAGTATGAACAGCTTTTGGGTAATAGACCACTGGCCAATGGCTTGCAGACTCGGAACTTTTTGAAACTTGAAGCTTATCACTAAGGAGTTCACGAAGGCACACCTTAGAGTAAACAAAGTTATCAGCCTCATAACTGTCACAAAGCTAATGCAGTGATGCGTTAGTGGAGCACATGCGATGAGACGCTGTTGTTGAAGAGTCAGTCGAATACGTATATATAACATTTGCAAGTTCCTACTCGTCAAAATAAGATAATTGAAAAGTTTTCTTTCGCAGCAAATTTTGAAGAGCCCTGCATTCCTGTAAGGACTGATCCCAGATGCGAAAGGAAAGAAGTTGTCTTTACAAAACATAATTAGTAGAGACAATGACTGACTAGCTAGGAAGTTTCTTTCGCTGGGTGTGCTTGTGAAGAACAGTTGCACAGCTTCAGTTTTCTTTCAGTGCAAATTTGAGAGCTTCTGTGGCAGACGCACAAAGGAAATGCAGTGGTCAGTTTACGCGCACTTCTTCGCTCGCACCAGTGCCACCGAATCATTCAAGCATGAAAACGTCTGGTATTCTTCCTACAAATCCAAGTCCAACCCGGGAAATGATTAAACTAGAGTACTAGAACCTTTGTAAACATCACGGTCCCATCTTTCCTTCCTTGCAAGCTCGTGAAATAATAACAAAAGTTCTTTCATACCTTGAATGAAATTTTCAATAGCAAGGTGTGGCTTCGTGTGAAAGATGAACGTTGATAAGGTGGTAAGGTAACTTTTCAATTTTTCGCTCCAACATCCTATCTAGTTCGCTAGCTTGTATAATTGTCTTTGTAGGGTTTAAAAAAAGTCCAGAAGTAAAATTTTATTCGTAACCGTAGCTCTACGGTTCTGATGGCGTCTGACATATCCATTCCATGAGCGCGTCAAGTAGGCTTTCCCGTTTTGATCTGTGAATCTTAATGTGCAGGAAAGAGTTTGCATGCAGTTCGTTTGATAATCTGAAAGAAAGTATTTCAAAGTGTCGTGTGAAATTCATCGTGTATTTTTCGAGTTTTTATTTCAGTAAACCGTGATTGCTGATATCTTCTCCAAGGTTGAAAAATACTGAAAATGCAATATCTTGTTCATGAAATAGTGCACGCAAAAATAGCAGGTACCACATATTATTCTGCGATGCGATTGGTTAAAAGTTCAAACAGTTCAGCTTATCACGTGCGACGCCAAGCAGGGAAAAACCACCGAATCACCTGTCCCTGTTGTGTGTGGGAGAGAGATAAAGAAGTTGTTTTACGGGTTTGTTTTGTTTGTCGTAAGTCGACGCGCCTAGCGTTGGGTGGTCGACCTTGGAAAAGAGGAATCTTATATCCTATTTTGGGGTTTTACCACCCAACGAGCTAACCAGCGGAGACATGTTTCGGAAAATGACTTGTATTTTAAAGTCTGCTGCACGAAAATTCTCAAGAGAAAGTTGGCTTAGTTGCGTCGCTTTGCCACTATGATACTTCCTGCGACAACGGCCCAAGAGGACACGTCTATACAAGATGTCTCTCTGTTATAGAATTAAGCGCTTCTGGTCAATTATATTCAATGGATTCTGGGTTGAAAGAGGACAGAGGAATTCTTGCACAGGCGCGACAACAGATAATGCCATCAGTGAGAGACAAATTGAACTGAAAGGTGTTAGAAGAGAAATTCTGGGCGCGGAGCGAAGTAGCAATGATGCAGTAACAGGTTGTCACCTTACGTCTCGCGGAATACAATTTTCTAGTCAAGAAGAAATGGATGGTTTTGACTCTAAGATGGGCGAAATGCAAACGATATTTCTAAAGGAACTTTCGGAAATAAAACGACAGCACGAGCGACTCAAAGTCGGTCGAGTTATCCTCAGAAGACGAGTGTCAGAATTGGAACAAATTCTGCAAACAGATATCACAAGTTTTGCAAGCACCGATATAAGGTCTTTTATGGAGGATTCGTCTTTATCTAGTGAAGAGCTTCAACTTTTGGCAGAGATGGAGGAGATATTGGAAAAGCTTGAAAAGGAGCAAGAAGAGCTTCTTTCGCTCGAAAAATATTTAGAAATTGAGTTGCGTGAAAGAACGTATTATCCGGAACCTATTATGCCTCGCCACAGGAAAGTGGAAGACGAATTCTCGAAACAGATGAAAAAAGATGGTGGCTTGAAGTACGAAAGCTTGGATAAAACTGTTCAGTTTATAAGTTATCGTTCCCTTCCACCGCCCCTGTCGTTAGATGAACTCTTAGAGCTCACTGATAGATGAGACTACAAGAACCTTCATTGCTTGCCTCCTCGAGTCGATCGATTCACAGACCGGAAATAAGCCCTTATGGCAGGTGTTAGCATACATGCCTTAACAGGTTACTTTGTCGGTCGTTAGTCGTTGTTGTGTTTAATTAGCGAGAAATCTTTTGGGATTGCTCTCCCAAACTGAAATGAGGGTTCCCGAAACTGCTTCGCTAAACAGTGAACGAAACCTTAGCGACGATAAGTAACTGTCAGAAATATACTTCAGGAGCACCACTGGCACAGGATTACACTTGGAATAGATTATACGACATAAACTAAGAAGATCTAAAAACAGCTCCAGTTGGTTGGTGCATGTGATAAACCTATTAGCTATTCCCTGGCTATCAGTCGTTTTATTGACTGACGAACAATATATTTTTTATTGATAAGAGGGATATACTATGAAAGCTCCAATCATAAATGGTTAAAGCCTTAAGGCTTTATTAATCCGGGCTCTAACTCTCGAATGAGTGGTTTGTACGTCATGCCGGGGCAGTGAATAAGTTGAAATAGTTCAGGTGAAACCAGTATTATTAATTCAATTTAGCTAATTAGAGGAAAATAATAAAAGTTAGATATTCCTTTTTGAGATATATTCGTTGTTCTTTGTCCGAAAGTACCTATCTTCAGACCCAGTTTCCTGTGTCCTTGTCTTTTCGAATCTCTTTTGGCGTCTTGGTTTGCCAACCTATTCAGGCTAACCGTAATGATGAAAAATGGATAAAATCAATTTAAAAAACATAACAAAACTAAGCAAAAATAAACAAACTTTAATTCGTCTGCACTTTTAAAAGATAAAGTACCGACCTTGTGTTCAAAAAGAAACTGGCTCATGTGTCGAATTTTGATAAAAACATCAATGGTGATTCATGAAAGTTAAATTTCAAATTTAACATTCATAGAATGAGAATAATACACCATTTTAGATTCCATAATGCTTTTTAAAACATTTCTTTGCTAGTTTTCAAATTGCCAATTGATCTGGCGGTGAATATCAATCAGTGCTGAGATTTGAACTGCGGTATATGCCGCCTGGGGCGCTATCACTTTGCTTTTGGTAGTTAAAAGGAGAGCGCTTATTGGAGAGAGCGCACTCAATACGACCGGGGCGCTTGTTTCTCTTTAAACCTATGCATCTGAATGTGGTGCAACACGTAAATGGAAAACAACAGATACTTTAGCTTAAAACTGTAACAGGAAAGGGCGCTGATTGAAACGGGCGGCGCGCTTATTAAACTGAAACGGCACTCAATGGCACTAACTAAAGACGGCGGAGCAACAGAATGAAAATGTGAGAATTTTCATAGATGAATGTAAGTAGTATTTTCATTTACTTCAATAGGGTTCTGTAAAACCAAATAGTATCGTAAAACCATCCCGCTTCTCAAATTTATTTTAATGGTTTAGATATTTAAATTTCCAGCGCGACCTTTACCTGAGCGTTGGTGGTATAGTGGTTAGCATAGCTGCCTTCCAAGCAGTTGACCCGGGTTCGATTCCCGGCCAACGCAGAAGCAATTTTCTTTTTTCCGTTTCTTTTTATTTGAACATCATTCTCATTGCATTGATTGGTCTTCTTATGAAGAGATACGATCAAGGAACGGGTAAATATGAAGCACAACTTTTTTTTACATATAAACTTAATAAACTTTGAACAGAAGTTTTTATTGCTTTCTTCTGAATGGAATTGAATCTTTAGTTTTCCACTCTCTCTCTTTACCTTTACTATATTTTCTCGTCCTTTTTTTAGCTTTCTCCTGGCCTTCTCGCAATTCGTCAGCTTGTTGTGAGACTGAAGCAGATTTAACGAGATGTAGTGAAAATTGTTAAAAAATAATAATAATAAAATAGAAGGGCACATTAGACATCTCAAGCAATATTTGTTTGGGTCAAACGAGGTTTAAGGAAAAAAAAAAAGGAAATGATTTGATATCACAGATATTTAGGAAAATAATTCATCGCTGCGAGCAGGATTCGAACCTGCGCGGGAAGATCCCATTGGATTTCGAGTCCAACGCCTTAACCACTCGGCCATCGCAGCAACACGTGGTCCTTTTAGGTGAATTTTTCTTAATTAAAGCATGGTTTCAATTATTGCGTAATATCTTGTGGTCAGCGGTTGACAAGCTGGCCATCCAACATGGCGGCGATCGTGGGGACGATCGCGGCTTATACGGCTCATACAGGAATTGTACTACATTAAAATGTACTCCGGTTAGCCTAAATACAACCTTGGTGAGCCTAAACAGCATTCCAGTTTCTGTAAAAGTGATCAGTTTTGGTCCCTGAGATGTTTTGAAAGAAGGCAAAAGCGATGCTAAAATTGTTCCGGGATTTGTGATGTTGTGTTGGTGAGTACGCTTGTTACTTTGTCGTGCTACCACTTGAAGGACTTCACTGTTCTTTGATTATGCTTAGATAGATATATTTGCATGCTGTACGAGTAGAACTGTCCTTTTCGTTCGTGCAAATTTCTTTTTACTGTCAACAATCTCCTCTGTGTCTAGCCTCCCAGGCAGATGCTCTTACGGCTCCTCACGCATTCCTTCCCCTAACAACATCTGTGTGGGAGGCTACTCTGTGTCAAAAGTTACGCGAAAATGTAATCAGTTCACTTGGGAATTCTAAGTTGGTTCCAAATTTGAGGACATACCGGTAGTGAACATCCTGTGTTAGCATACTTCTCAGATCTGGACCCAATCAAGTCATTCAGGAAAGGACCAAGCTTAGCTACAAATTTCAAACACAGGATTTCGTGAGAGTGGATATCATTTTTAAAGTTGTGAAATTTGCTTTCAAATCGTTAATACTGTACATTTTACTTGCATTACATGCAGTAACTGTTGTATCAAAATATTGTCTTATTACCGTGAAACTTGGAAAAATGTGAAAAACCAGAAATGTTTATGGAATATTATTGTGTCGCAAAGAACATGTGAATTAAGCATGAGAAAAACTAAACCCTAAACAGCAACAGTAATTAGTTGTGGTTTTTTCTTGTTTGTCCTGAACTTTATTGTGATTGGTTCTGTAGACAATTAACCTTTCAGAATCAAGTCAGTGTTGACAGTTTTCTGAGTTTCACAGTAAAAAAGAATCAATTATATAAATTTTAAATCCACTGTCCAAATTCCTGAGTCCATACATTTCCTTCTTTTATTACAAGGCAACCATTTATAGTACAATCTGGGTATCACTCTGGTCCTGGGATCATTTGCGGTACAACTTGGGGATCATTTGTGGTCCAGGGATCATTTTCGGCTCTGTGCAGATATAAACACAATCAGGGACCATGTCGGCCTTGGGGGAGAGGATGGGGTGGGGAGGCCTTGGCAACCAATCAATCAATATAGCTTTAGGCCTTGCTCTTTTTCACAGTAAAAAATAGGTAGGAAAAGCAAAGCATAGTATAATATAACAAGCATTAATCAAAGATTATAAGAGTTCTGGTGCCTTCACTTAATGGCATGAATGATTTTATTTTAACTCCTGTGTGTTGTTCAAGTCAATATTTTTACATTAGCAACCAAAGTTTTACAGATAGATACAACATAATGACAAAGTCCAGTGTTTTCTTGTGGATTTGATTTCCTTGTCTCATGATTAACTAACAGAGGTCCCCTTTATAAACTATGATTTGTTGATATGTTGTGTGACAGTAACAGTATTGGTAGACTTGCAAGTTTTATAATAGAACTAAAATTTTTACCTTTGCCCCCAATCTCAGTTCATGCTGAACATTTTCACTTTTACAGGTTATGTTTAAGCATAAAGGCTAATATTTTGTAAAAGTACGCCAATAAGGTTTTTACATGTAGTATTCTAAGCTAGAAGCCTGAGTATTAGCTAACAGAGGTCATGTGTACTAAAGGCATCTGCAGTCGAGTGTCAATTGTTAATTGTATATAAGGACTCAGCTAGCTAGCGTGGGTTGTTGTTGTCAGCAGAGACCGACTGGAGAAGCTATACCAAGAGAATCGTAGAGAGCTATTGAGGAACTTCATAAGTCAAATGGATCAAGACTAAATTTCTTCAGAGTCATCAACGTTTACTGTGGGCTTACATTATTGGTGAGTAGTTTTAGTAGTGGGCTCAAGTTATTTTAATGATAGATGGCATTGTTTAAAAGGCGGTCTTTTGTAACGAGGATTTCACTAGGTCTCGTTAAATAAATAAGTTGGGTTTGTAGAAGAGTTTTGCAGTGTATCTTTTCTGTTGCTTCAAGTGATACCATAACACTGAGCTCCTTATTACACAACCTGCAAGAAAGATTATGGTCCTGTAGGTATTAAAAGAGCTGGTTTTATGTAAAAAGGAGAAAAGCCCAGGAGATTTTTCCAAGATAGGAAACTTAGCAAGCTGCAAGAGTCTTGCATTTTGAGTGTTAGTTAGTGTTCGTGAAATTTAGCTATTAGTTGTTGAGATTTCACCCCAACACTTTACACTTGTGGCTACTGTGCTTTGTGTCTGTATGAGCATAGGGACGCGAGGCTTTATTTTATGAATAGCTTTCTTCTGCTTACCAAGAAGGGTTATAAGTCCTTTATTTTCTCCTCTCTAGGCTCTTTCGTGGCATTTAATTTTTTCTTGTCATCTTTATTTATTTCACATGCTGTACTTTCTCGTTTAATATCGTCTTCAGTGAGCTCTCTACTTCTGCCATGTTTTTCATTATTGGTATCACGGCTGTCTATGCGGCCGTGTGTTCATAGACAGGTCGTATGATCCATAACCACTTGATATCTCCATCATTCAAGTTTGCTTGGTGTCGCTTAGTTACCATCTGGGACTGAATAGTTTAATAAACACCTCATCTTACATCAGTTTATAGAGTTAAACTGTACATTTAGTGAATTATTAATAACCTGTCTGATGATTTTTGAAAATGATTTGTGCGCATGCTTCCTTTTCTAAAGCGGAACGACCTTTTCAAACAAGTCGCACTGGGGACAAGACTGAATTATTTTTCGGTAAACTATCATTAATCTGAAGATAAATAACAAACGTTTGAAAAAAATGCATTCTACTTCTGGGTCTCTATGACTTAATTGATACTGTAAAAGTGCCGGGCGGGGTTGGTAAGAATCCACGAGCTATGCTATTTTATTTATTTTTTTTCCAAAAGTTCATACGTATCATGAAATGGTCTGAGAAATGAAAACGCTTAATTTTCTGTCAAAGCGGAGAGTTTTTTTTATCAACTATGGGTTCATTCCCCAGTTGAGGAACGATGTTCAACTTACCTGCTATCAGTAGTTCGTATAGTGTGATCGTCCGGGTGAGGGTAGTTCTGAAAAGAACTGTTGTTGGTGACTGACGTTTCGACAACCTGAGCTGAAGTCATCTTCAGAGTCAAGTGAATAGTGTTTTTCAGTCGATGATGTTATAAGTTTGGTCCGTTGGAAGTGATTGGTGTTTAACCATGATGGTATTGGCTGAAAGACTCTTGTAAAGTTTGTCAGCAGTCACTGGTCGGTTTTGATCCGCCTATTGCTAGTCAAATTGGTCGGTTTTAGGTCCGTCTATTGTTGTCAAATTAGGTCGGCCTGTTAGAAGTCCGTTTGTCGATTTCGTTTCCGTCGTGGATAAGTCGCTTATCACTTTCAAATTTTTTTTTTTTTTTTTTTTAAATTTTTATTGCAGTCAGATAATGAGTTACTTGTGTCAGAAATGTAAAAAAAAAAGGAAGAAAAAAAATGGGGGTCACCGACTTCGTTTCAGAGATAAAGCGTGTGGAAAACTATCTGATTTTGAAAAATCGGCGCACGTAATTCAGCATTTGTCTACAGGGGTTTATAGTTAAAAATATCGAAGGTGAGTCATCGGAGGCAAACGATCTTAGTCATATTTTATAGAAGTGTGTCTGTTGCTTAAATGATTCCAAATGTTACCAACGTTTTCACAAAGCTTAACCTTTCGAGAGGCATTTGAAACCGTCGCACAGATAAACGAAGAGCTAAAAAGAACGGAATTCGATGGTGCATTTTGCAAAGAAATCAAACTTGTAGTCGATAGATTTTCTTCATTTTTTCGCTAAACGTAGAAAATCGGTAGAGGAAATGACCCTTCAAAAGAAAAGTAGGGGTCACCGAACGTCCAAGATCGTTAAATCGAAGCAAAGCTATAGCAACGGCCATCTGCCCTATCATTGTTCATTTTATTACTTAGCGCGCGCGCTCATGCATGACGTGACGTGTGAATTTACGTGCGCAATAAGGATGCGCAGAAACAATTAGCGCGAACGGCCCGCGCGAACGTCCCTAGGTGACCGTAATCTCGTACCCAGATCTCACTCTGTTTGACGCTGACCCTTTCGCCTGGCCGTGGGAGATCTGGGTTCGAGATTAAGGTGGCTGAACGCAGTTTTCGCGCGCGCTCTTGCTAATGCTATTCAGCAAGCGCACGAGGATTGCAAACAACAAACATGGCGTCAATACAGCGGTCATTTTACTTGCTCAATGCCCATGCTATCTGTATTATTTTTCTTCATAGTTGAACACAGTGTATTGATGGTTTTAGTCTTTTATTACAGAGGTTTGTTGCTTGACAATTTTAACATCTTGTCCTCCGATCGAGGCACGCAGGATTTTCCCCGAACTTCCACTGGTATCATATCGGCGTGAGCGAAACCTCGGTGATATCCTTGCACACTCCGCTGATGCCTCGCCGTCTCCTACTGATGCCGGTTCATTGCCCTGCCGACTGCCGCAATGCCAGGCGTGCAAGCACATAACTTCTCAGACTCTTTTACAAGGCCCGAAGAGCGCACATAACATCCGTGACCACTTCACCTGTCACTCTGAGAATGTTGTGTATTTCATTTGTTGTCGTCGCTGCGATTGTCTATACATCGGTGAGACTGGAAGGCGACTACGGGGACGTTTCAGCGAGTACCTCCGCAGCATTCGAAACCGATCGCGTGGGTTTCCCGTAGCTGAACATTTCAATTCCGCCTCCCATTCTCTGGATGACATCATGGTCTGTAGCTTGAAACAGTGCTCTGGTAGTAACATCAGCCACAAGCAGATTGAAATGAAATTAATCTTCAAGCTGGACACGCTTCGACTGAACGGACTGAGCATTAACTTCAATTTCTTGTGACTGTGATTCTAGCGCGTATTACACATACGCACGCTAAAACAATGGTTTTCATATGCGGCAGCACGCCTTTGTCTACTTTGTACTTCCTACACGCGCGCTGTCCGTGCGTGCGTACGCGTACAGTTTTTTGTATGGCGTCGCTCAATCATACCGCTCATTCGTGCCCTCACGGGTGGAGGGCACGAGATTTTTAATCTTACAAACTTTGTCTCAAGTTGAAGCGGCCTGCTGTAGCCAGCAAAAGCAGCAACAGAGAAAAAGGTTACGGTGGAGTTTTCTTACCTCTGTACGAGTGTGGTAAGTTAATTACGCACAGCGATGAGCGAAGATCGATTGACCAGCAGTCGTGTGAGACAAAGTTTCTAAGATCAAAAATCTCGTGCCCCTCCACCCGTTTGGTGATAATTGACCACGTTCCCAGTCTCGGCCGAGCGGTGACGACTGCAAACTGATCAACTTAACGTCGTCAAGCATCAATTTCCGCTATTTTGGCCGTCATATTGCAAGTTTTTGGCCAGCTAACACGGTTAGAACTGAATGCGTGATTCATTGGATTGCAGAGAGAGAAACTACAGGCCTTACTTTGTGAGTTCAGCAAGAAATATTGTGAGTAAATGCTCTTTTTGTGTGCAAATTTGACTCGCTTCCGAAGAGTGTTTTGTCGTCAAACTGGCCGAAGTTTTCTACTTTGTCTCTTATTATAACACCGTAGGATAAATAAATCAAAATTCTCTCAAATTTCGTTTAAACTCTCCAGGATAAGAAAAAATGACACCATTGAATGTTCAAGAGTCTTTATTCGGTAAATTACCCATACATTGAACGAATTTAATGTTAACTCCTGATCTCCATACAAACTCTTATATTTCAGCCACAGTTCACCATACAAACTCTTATATTACGCTTGGGCTACCTGTGATTCCACCTAATGAAGAAGGGCTAAGCCCGAACCGTTTAGATTACCAGCGAATGTTTGACACTTTTAAGACCCTTTTGAACCTTGTATGTTAGAAAAGGTAACGATGCAAAGAACCCAGCAATTCTCAGCTTTTTCTTTGTTACCAGAAGAACCCAGCGTTAAATGCAGTCCATGCGTAGTAAGTTGAAAAAGTGCGATTGAATGCGAAATAGCATTCTCGGAAGTACGCCCATTTCTCGAGAACCACTCATTAGAATTTCACGAAATTTGGCACGAAAATACTTTAGGAAAGAAGTAACTGGAGTATTGAAAAAAGTTGCAACTTTAGCAAAGGAAATTCTAGATATTCCAATGAACATTCAACAAGGGATAATTAAAGATCTCTCTGTTAAATTATTATTAAAATAGTGTTAACTTGTGAACGTGGTTACAAGCTTATTCATGTTGCCATGGTAACGGCACATTGGTCAGCTTAACTATCAGAAAACTGAAGTTTGTGTAGTTTTGGCGACCAAAGAGAGGATCAAGGGTTTTAGAGAAAAAGTTGAATGAAACACAGGTATCAAAACCTGTGTTCAGCCACCTTAACTCGCATCAATTTTGCTATACGCATTTCTACTAGGGTCGTGCGCGTTTTCTGGCTCTAGTACGGCTCTCATACGGGACCTTCTTTCTTATTGTTTTCCAAGGAAATTGCGCGCGGGGCCTTACGGGTCATATGTTTAACATGCTTGTTTTATCCCAAGAGAGCACGGCAACGAATGCTACAATCCGATTGGTTCTTAGCTCGGTCCGGATTTTCCCATCTCTGACCACGGTCATGGTAACTACGGGAAACGGCGCGGTGAAATTGTCGTGTTGGTCAATTTTCCTGAGTGAACCGGCGGTAATCGTCAACCTTTGCCCTTTTTACACTTCCATCGATGATTAATCAACGCGAGTTTATCTCTATTCACTTTTAAGTGGCAAGGAGAGTCACTAAATTCAATTGAATGTTTTGAAGGTGTAAGAGTTTGGTTGGTTGTTTGTAGCTCGGCGTTGTAATGGCGCGTAATCCTGCATTTCTCTCGCCTTACAATTCTAAGCAAAAAAAAAGGCAGTTGCAGTCGAGTTTACCTCTTTGATCGTTGCTGTATTTAAGAGAATTGTTGTGGAATACACGTGACAAATTTCCTCGCTTTCTGCTTCTCAATTTACGGTAGAAAAGTCTGATTTCGGTTAATTCGCAACGACTGATAGAAATTGTTTTTGTAGTACAACTTCAAACTTTGCACGAAATTTCACACCGTAAAATCAATTTTGGAGAACTGGTGAACTAGATGCAACTAACATAAAAAAGTTTGAAATAAATCTGTTCTTTAATACATCTTTCTTTATCTAGTATCTGAGTTACTCGCCCGTTCGTTCGTTAGATTTTTTACGATGGTTTGTAGACGGCACGTAAGCCAAGTTGCGTAAACAAACCTACTTGTAAGCCAATTTACCCCAGGAAAAAATAAATATGCTATTTGCCGGCTTAGGGTCGGTCCGTTAAGTGAAAAACTGTGACCTCGGGCTTGAAAATGCTGCCCTCGGCCTCGGGCAACATTTTCAAGACCTCGGTCAGAATTTTTCACTATACGGACCTCCCAGCCGGCAAATAACATATTTATTTTCACAAGTGAGAAGATCACCATTGCTATGGTTACATAATCCCTTAAAAAGTACTTAGATGTGTTGCTGTATGGTCGAAACATCATGTGTTCATCCTCGGAAATCTTCGGTTATCTTCGGAAGTCTTTGGAAATTTTCGGAAAATGTTCGGAAACGTTTGTCGGGCCTTCGGGCGACTTTTGGAGAATCTCCGGAAATCTTCGGAAAGCGTTCGGAAATCTTTGGAAAATCGCCCAAAAAAGTCGTCATTAGTATGTTTATATAATAAACAAAATAATACATGGCTGCTTGTAGATATGGAATTTCTCTTCTCGTGGTCAACTTTATATCTAACTCGTGAAGTATCAAGTTGAACACTCGAAGAGAAATTCCATATCTACGCGCACCCATGTATTATCCTCTATGTTGTCTGTATAAAGCGTAGACGAAGTGTTATTTTCATTTTGATTTTGGAAAGTGTGAAACAATTTGTTTCTGTGGTGTTTAGAGTTTTAACCGGTAATCTTTCTCATTTAAGGTATCATGGTATTGAGGTGGTCCGATAGTGTTTGGAAATCGTGCTTTTACGCGAGCGCTCCCACCAATCTATACATTTCCTAAAAGCTAAATTACCGTTTTCTGATTGGCTACGCTACTCACTATTTATTCTGTGATAGATAGTAGCGTAGCAGAGTGCCCTTGGTAACAAAATGACGGCCACTTTTTTGCGTTTTCGAGCTGTCTGTGAAGAGGATTTCGATAAAGTTTTGAATGACTAGTAGATTTATACTAAAACAATTAGATTATTTGCTCTCGATTTCTATGCGTGATAGTTGAC